TCCCATGCCCCCCCGGAACCATTGGTCCTGTTGATGTCTCCTCCAGACTATTCTTCCAGCCTGTCTTATCTAGAGAGATCTGTAGAGATCATAACATGCACCAAAAATCAAGCCATAGCAAAGATAGACGACACATGCGAACACAGCAATGACCACAAAAAGGAAAACCAATGACCCATAAAAGAATAAATCAATTAAAGGACAAAAAAAGTTTTAAAAAGAAATAAAAACCTGTAAATAGATCAAAGTCTGATTTTTGATCTCTATGCGTGTCCTTTAGTCAGGTCCGATGGGGTACCACGCTCTGGCCCCAGAGTCTGTCCTTTTTACTCCCCCGGGGGCTCCCTGCTCTGCTCCCACGGTTGCTCTGCCGCACACCTTTGGTGGTTTGCCTCAGTGTCGCGGGGTCAGTCTGAGCCAGTTTTGACACTGAGAATCCAGTGTTGTCCCCCTTAGGGCCCTGGGTCAGCGAGGGACGTTGTGTCTCCTAGTGGGATCAGCCATATGGTCCACTCTGCAGTGGCTGTTCTGAGGGGGAATATCGTCCTCCAGGCCTGGTGGGCCAGGATGTGCTCCCCTCTCTCTTCCTCCCCCTTCATTTGCTCCCGTGTGCTCTGATCAGACATGTCCCTCTCCTCTAGCTGCAGCTTCAGTGCCGTCCTCTAAAGTGAATTCTTCTGGGGAGAGGGGTAGTTGTCCACGTAGCTGGTATGGGGGCCAGGGAGGACAGGTTTTAATTTGTGCTGGTCAACAAAATAAATGGTTTAAATGATATACTATCATTAAAAAAATTTTAAAAAAATTTATGAAGGAACATCAAACTTTTCAATGCTAACTATTGAAATCATTGTAGTATTATTTACAAATTTCTCTTTAGAACCAGGCATGAACTATTTTAGCATAATGATCAATATATGGAATAATTTACAGGATGGAATAAATAGAATGCATGAATTGAACTTTGTGTTCAAGATTTTGGGCTCACAATCATAGCCCTAATTTAAGAACAGTTAGTTCTTAAGACGTGGCCTTATTTAACATTCACCCTCATGAAGAGATCACTCATGATATGTGTACTCCAGCTTAGTGTGTGGAGACCAGATGGTGCCCAGCTCTCAGAAGGAATAGTGTCTGGGGCCTTCAAACAAGTGTCAGCTAATTCTACACGGAAGAAGCACACCATTCTGTGTGATCCAAGGACTGCAAAATCCAAATCTGAAGGAAAGAATGATTTCAGATGACAATGGTAGCAGAATGTTGGGCTGCTAGCCACAAGGCTGGCAGTTTGAAACCAACAGCAGCTCCTCAGGAGAAAGATGAGGCTGTCTCTTCCCATAAGGAAGTTACAGTCTTGGGGCACTTCCTATAGGGCAGGGGTGTCAAAACTGGCGGCCCACAGGCTGCAGGCCGCCAAGGTAATGTTTGATGGCCCACGATGCTCTGAAATAAAATGTAACAAGGGAATTTGTATGATATTGCCTCGTTCTCCCCTAAGCGCTATTTTCTTCATAACAATTTTTTCTGTTTTCATTATTTCAGAGTATTGTAGGCCACAAAAAATTACCTTGGGGGGCCACATGTGGCCCGTGGGCCGCCAGTTTGACCCTCCTGCGTTGCCATGAGTCAGAATCAACTTGATGGCAATGGTTTGTTTTGTTTTTTTAATAGTATGATGACAGTGGAAGCCCCAAATCCAATTAAAGGGTCCCTCCATGGATTTAGCCTCTGGTGAATCCTCTCTGTTCCTAGTCCAGGGATGTGAATATTCTTGCTATCAAACAGAGCTTCGTAGAGTTGACTGTAGCAAGATGTAGTTAGATGAAAATATAGTACCTTAACATTTGATCTACTTTTTGATCCATTTAAAAATTATTTCAGTTTTTAATATTTTCTGCTTTCTTTTTGAGTGAGGTTTTTCTGTTTTGTCTAGTCACTGTTGTTGGTTTTGTTTGTTTCTTGTTTGTGTTTTGTATGATTTTCTATATATGAAATATTGGATAGGTATATGTAGGGACAGAGCAGGGGAAATCGGGGAAATGGGGAACTAACAATAAGTATGAAAGATGAAAATGTTCTAAAATTGATTGTGTGGTGATTGTGTAACTCTTCTTAATATGTTTGAACTTTTGATATGTAATTTATATGCCAATAAAACTATTAAAAAAGATTCCATTCAGTTCTGAAATTAAGGTTCCTAAATAATTAAAAATTATGAGAACTCTAAGTTAAAATATAGAAATAGTTATTTGAAAGAATGTATAACTCTTTTTAAAATTTTAATTTAATATATACTTTTTGAACATTTACTGATAGGTATTTTTGTTGCCTATATCTGGGTACTCTTAAAAAATTCCATGTTTTATGTTTGTTCAATACCTGATTGGGGAAAACAATTTTTTTCCTTTCTTTTTTTAAAAAATCATTTTATTGGGGGCTCATACAACTCTTTTTTTTTTTTCAGTGACCTTTATGCATTTAATTATTAACACTAGTTGTGTATAGGTTCATTGGGGTTTTAAAAAATAAGCTCATACAATTCCTTTATTATAATCCATACATACATCCATTGTGTCAAGCACATTGTATATTCGTTGCCCTCATCATTCTCAAAACATTTGCTCTCTACTTAAGCCCTTGGTATCAGCTCCTCATTCCCCCCCACCTCTGGTCTACCCCTCCCTCATGAGCCCTTGATAATTTATAAATTATTAATATTTTGTCATGTCTTACACTGTCCAATGTCTCCCTCTCTTCACCCACTTTTCTGTTGTCTGTCCCCCAGGGAGGGGGTTATATGTAGATCTTTGTAATCGGATCCCCTTTTCCACCCCACCCTCCCTCCACCCTCTGGTATCACTACTCTCACCACTGGTCCTGAAGGGATCATCTGCCCTGGATTCCCTGTGTTTCCAGTTCCTATCTGTACCAGTGTACCCGCTCTGGTCTAGCCGGATTTGTAAGGTAGAATTGGGATCATGATAGTAGAGGGGAGGAAGCATTTAAGAATTAGAGGAA